TATTATTATTATTATTATTATTATTATTATTATTATTATTATTATTAATTTCGCCAGAGAAATAAATTCTAAGACTAAACTCCTAAAAGCACTAGCATCTAAGGCTATCGGCCTTTATTAAAAAACTCTACCGTACTTGAGATTCGAACCCACGACCACTGAGTTGCTAGTCGAGACTCTTGCCTACTCGGCCACCCAGGCGGATGATTGATAACAAATCTTTATTGGCAGGATGTTCACACTTACAAAGCGATCGCGCTTTTGCCAAAAGTAGAAATGGAAATGCCGAAAAAGAAGTCTTTCTAAGATAAACAAGTGAAAGAGAGCGAAAGCGAGAGAAAGATAGAGAGAGAGCATTCGATTACTCATAGACAATCATGTAATGCCGTTCGTGATGTATAATTCTCTGTCAATTTAATTTCACACACATAATACACATATATGTTTATCCTTTGTGTTACTAAATTTTATCTTTTAATTATTCAGTATACCTAACTCGGTTTTTCCATTATAGTGAAAAAGTATTTTATTTTTATTATTACAAAAAAAAAAAAAAAAAAAAAAAAGAACTAATACAACTGACATAATATTTCTTCAGTTAACGATTACAATAAGTAATTAATTTTGAAAGTGAGGCAAGTCGTAAGCTTAGCTAGAATAAACTTTTATTACCTTAGCCAACACTAAGCTAAACATTGTTGGATAACAAAAATACATTCTTAAATACCGCAAAATAAAGAAAGGAACTGTGCTTATTAGTGTAGTAAACTTTTAAATACTTCACAGTAACAAACCGTGCACTTGTTCCACTCTCACAACAAACGGCTCACATTTGTAGCCTGGTTGCAATTGCTGAAGACACTTCATTTTGGTGTCCTACTGCATATCTAATACTTGAGTTTGCGATTATACCTATGACCCGATTAATGTGTTCTTTTCATTTAGCTCGATCAGAATGCAGCATAGTTTGATTGAAACTATAAGTTTAATTTTAATAGACATATATGTGTGTAGACAAATGTATACATTATAAATTTCGCTAACAAGGAATATACCACTGAAAATGCGTAGGACATTATATGGCCCAAAATGAATGAATGCTCAAAACGTCGTCAAATGCTGCGTGTTGCTGTCCATCTTTTTACAATTTGATATACATCGAAGTGCAGCTGGTAAACAAGTAAAACTTCTACCTTACAAATATTAATATCTAGGTTATCTATCTATATTCAAAATTTCGGAATACAACGTATGTGTTATGAAGTAATAAACTTCAGCGAACAGAATTCGTTGGCAAACCTATTAACACTGAACAGCTGGAGCGAAAAACTATTCTCTTGATATTGAGTTTATCGCATATATATCGTAAATTATATCATAAATATCGTATATATTATGTTTCACTCTATATATTGGTGTGGTTTGGCAGCATTTTTTATATTTAAGGTATGTTCCAAAAAAAGTTTACTTTTCATCTATCTCGATATATATTTATTTATTTATTTATCAATACGTATTTTGCTCCTTTCAAAGTAATGCCTCTTAGGTATAATACACTAACGGCAGCGCTCTGGCTAATCCTCAAAGCTATTTTGAGATGCGCTTCTTGGTATGGCCTTGAGCTCTCTCATCGTTCTCGCCTTTATCTCCTTAACCGTGACCAAAGCTCCGTACGTTCATAGAGTACTTTTTTCGGTCCTGGCTCTTCTGACCGATTCCATGTTATGATGGAGCTTCGGCTTCGACATTCACAACCATATATCCGTGTTTCGTCAAAAGTTTCCAGCAAGTCTGGATGTCGAGCGATGCTTATGTGACGCTTCTTTTGTTCAAAATTTGGCAACTTCGGGACAAACTTCACTGCCGCACGTTTCAAATTGCATGACAAGGGCCAACCAATATGTCGAAATCCCCAGTGAACCTACCAGTGATTGCACGATTAGCCGTAACAATTTTCTTCACTGCTTTAACTACTTTTCACCGGTTATTGACGCGCTGGAACGTCCAGGTCGATCTAATATATTCTTGGCCTTGAGCGAAGAGCTTGTATCACTTATAAATAAATTTTTGTTGAAAGTAGACTAGTTAAAGTCCACATTCAGCAATTTAAGTACATAAGAGCACTTTCGTTAATATTTGACACAATATTTTACACAGAACTTTTGCTCTACTTTTTCAAAATCGAAAAAGCACACACCAATCATACCTAAACAAGTCTAACTTTTATATTATGTAGCCCATAAAATTTAAAAATTTATTTTATATTTTTTGAACACACCTCGTATAGCTTTTTGTAAAAACGAACAGTCAAGTAGTTTTAACGAGATTTCAAACTTAAAATGCCAACATCGGCTAATAAAAGAGGTAGATTAAATGTCATATTTTTAATAATTACATGCGGATTTATGAAGCGACCTTCGAAACTGGCCTAGCAAGAGCACTAAAAAAAAAAAAAAAAAAAAAAAATACTTGAAGTCAAGTTTATTTTTCTCAACAAAGTTTTGAGAGTTTTTAGTGCTTTTAGAAGACAGACATGTACTTACAAAAGAAAACTCGAACGACTTAATCGAAATCGAAAAATATCTCGAACTAAGCCATTCATATTTCTGTACCTTACAAACATTTAATAAATCGTATAAGCCGTTCACGCTGGTGTATTTTCAAAATTTTACAGTTTAATAATTTGAGAAAATTTGCTAAAGAACAGAAAAGCTTTAAAATATATTAATATACTTCTTCTTCCTTATGATTCTCTTTCACACCCCTTTCTACAGCTATAAAAACCATAAAGGCCACACAAGAGTTGTGCTCTGCGGTATTAAAAATTACATACACAAATATAAAAAGAAATAAAACGGATCAAATATAAACAAGTAAGAAAATTAAATTCGGTCGGAACCGAATCTTTTATACCCGTCACCGTTTACTCAACAAAAAAACCAAAAAGAAGTAAAAGAATAAAATTCTCATTCTCTATAATATGGAGTGGCCGCAGTTGATTTCTTCTATTTTCAAAATAAAAGTTTCTGCGATAAAGGCATTTGGGGCATTGCAGGCTTTGCAGGCTCCTTTGAAAAGTTTAGGTCAAATTCTCCAAATTCTTTTCCAAAGTTGTAGGCGATATCTTCATTTTCGCTAACGGTAGAATGTTCAGCACATATACAAGAAAGCTGCGAAAACAGACAGACAGATGGACAGACGAACAGGCGGACACGTTTACGTGCATTCATGATTTGAACCTGGCCAAGAATTTGCATACCTTATGGGGTTTCTGAAACTTGTTTGTACGCGTTTTAAAGGTATTGAAAAAAAAAATTACATCTTGATACATTATAGTATAGGATAGGCATGGTCAATTTTTTCCGTTTTTGGGCATAAACACTACAGCATCGCTCATAGAATATGCGATTGAATTTTTGTACATTTATTTGCTATAGTTTATAAATAATGAGAAAAAACCAATTTTTCAAAGAGAGGTCTTCCCATTTTATGTGGCGCTGAGGCCGTCTCCTTCGATGGATTTGGCCCCATTTTCAATACCAAACTGCATGTAAAAGCTTATAATGTTTCTGTCAAATTTTTAATTCGATAGCTTAATTTTTGCGGCCAGGAGAATGTGTACAGCAGACATTATACGTACGGACAGACGGACAGACGGAAATGCTTAAATCGAATTTAGAATTTGTGGGGTCTCTGATGCTTCATTGTGGGCGATGCAAACGATTTGACAAAATGAATATAGCTCTGATCCTTGGGTGATGAGTATAAAAAAAAAAAAATAATAATAATAATAATAACTGGAGAAAAAAAAGAAAACGTTAAAAACAGGGTCATGCTGGCATTGAGAAAAGCCCTCAACCGCAAAGCGGGAAAGAATAAAAAAATAATAAAAAAGCAAATCTCAGACAAAGAAACCGAAATCTCACTCTTACGTTATGAACTCCTTGAAACGACAAGGGTAAAGGAAAGCAAAAAAGAAAAATTGGAAACAAATATAATAATAATAAAAATTTATTTTCTTTTAAGGCAATCATATGAAAATTTAACTTCAATAAGTTTTCCATTCGTAATGGTACCGAACCGGAAACTAAATTTAAATGTCAATAATAAGTAACAGAAGCGCGCGTGGAAAGAATATTAACAACGGTTAACATTTGTGTACAAATATATGGGAAATCTGCAAACAGAATACGTCGATTGTATCGATAAAAAAAAAACTCTCTTACCCAAAAATTGCTGTTTTTCAATATCTCTATCTGCCTTTACAAAAAACATAGAGTTTGTGCGCTATTTTTCGTTTCTGTTCAAATAAAAGCTTAAAAAAAATTTTCAAAAAACGAACGCGAAAACAATGATTCACTTTAAGAAATATATGTGATACAAGAATTAGTTAGTATTAAAATTATATAAAAATTTTTCAAAATTTTCTTAGCAATTGTTGAAAATTTTTTGGAAAATTGTTATCAATACTTTTGCGTCTTTACAACTTTCAAAAACAAACAATAAAAATGAACAGACAGACGAACGGTTAGACGGACGGACGGACATATTGTCGGTTGAAAATTATACGATCATCAATGAGCATTTCTGGTTAGTTATCAGAAAAATTGGAAGCATATGGTTTTTTAGATTTTTTAGACGAACGCTCCTATGCATAACAATTCATTATTATCATTATAACAATTTTTTACGATTTTCATTTCAAGTTTCATTCTTCTTCTTTTTTTTGTTTTGTATTTATATTTAAATGGTTTAACCTTTGCTATAATATTGAAAATGTGTACAAATTGTCTTAAAAAAAAAAATTCAAATTCATTCTACAGGGTATCCATTTGCGTTTCGTAGTTTATTTTTTACATATATATAAATGTATTAGGTAAAATATATAGGCAAACGTGGCACTTACCTCGTAGTGACCCTCTAATATTGGCCCAGCTTGTGCGAGATATAATGTAGATGCTGAATCAAATATCATTTCCAGCGGTTCTCTAACTACCATTGTAGTCTCTTTAATTTCACAATCATAATAAAATACTACCTTATCGCTTAGAATACGAAATGCTATTGAAGTCCATTTCTTTGGCTCGTAAGGTAATTGATAGGTAACCAGTTTTTTCTGGGCATGACTATTTTCGGGCGGAGTATAAATCAATGATATATTCCATGTATCTTTAATTACTGGCGAAAAGTGTACGCCCAATTGGACAATTGTATCTAAAGGGTTGACCACACTAAACAAATAACCACCTTTTGCCGAATTCGGTTGATAGATAACTTCAATCGCAAATTCTTGTAATTTTTCCGGCAATAACATGCGGTACGGTGATTTAACGTCCGCTGTCGGCAAAAATTTATAAGCGGGAAAGCCATCATCGGCATGTATGAATTCGATGCCTTGTAAATGATTATCGTCGATAACGTCTAGGAGTCTGTATTCGGCAATAGCATCTGCAATTAAGTAAGACAATCAAAATGAAAAAGAAATGATATTCTTACAGCCTAAAAGTAAGCAACATTTTTCTTTCGGGAAAAAAACACACACTCCTCACACTCCTAAACTCACGAATGCATAACATTTGCATATAAACTATATTCGGTGGAGATTTTATAGATACGTGTTTACATATTCGCTTGGTGGGTAAGAAACAATACGCCAACACATACACACACACAAAGTCATTGTGAAACGGCAGCAATATGTGATTATGCTGATCTGTCTTTAATTATTGTTTAACGGTTTTCTTTCGTCTTTTTATCATTTTCAAATGTTCTTCGCTTTCAAAATATTTCATAAACGAAAATTAATTACAGTCAACTGCTAACCGTTAAATTGTTAAATGCTTGCGCAGTTCAAAGACCATAATAATTGCAATTAATTTCATCACAGAGGACACAATCACAATAATGGATACGCATTATAAAATTGGAAAGTAATTTTCAACGAACCATTATTCAAATAAGTTATGCAATTAAATTATGCATACACCGTGTGCAGCGTACGCAGCATAAGATATCTTTGCTCATAGAACTGGTCCATATTAATTTTATCGTGCCATTAATATTTAGGATTTTTTTTTTCAGGAAGATCGGAAAGTAGTTAAACCACATTTTGATCTTTGCAAATAAATAAACTATTTGCACATGGGTTCGTGTCTTTACTAAAACATTTTTGATAATTGCGTGATATTGTGAAAATTAACAAAACGACTGCATATAAAACGAAATTATACGCCATGCTGTCATAAATACAACAACACAATACATTATTAGCATTTCTCATTATAGGTCCTAACGTGCTTTGAGAAAATGTTTACCTTTTTAGGGCACATACGGATGGTTTAGGTTTTTTAGTTAAGCTCTCTTCTGATAGCTCTTTTCACAAATCTTAAGTGACCTCATTTTCCTGAAACTCCATAATAATATCGTATCAAATGGTTAATATATACGCGAGGAGAACAGCAAAAAAATCGGACAACGAGTAAACAAATATATGTGCGAAAAAGAGACAAAAGGAAAAGTTTTGCTTTCCATACGCTGAGTAGATTTAAAGCATTAGGTTGCGGCGTTGTAAATATTATTTTGAAGGATCCTTTGCTTAAATCAAAATGGTTCTGCTTCTTGTTTTTTCTCTTTTAATCTTATCAATTAGTTAGAGGTCGACTCGTATACGTGTAATATGGTGACGATCAGGGAGTAGTGAGAAAAGAAAATGAGAGAGTAAGTGGCTGCAGCCTAGTAGACGTATGCCCTATTGGTAACGGTTAAGGCTTTAACGACTGTGCACTCACTATAGCTACGACGAAACAAAGCTCTGCCGCACTTGAGATTTGAATCCACGAACACCGGCTTAGTAGTCACGTGTTCCTATCTACTGGGCTACTCATGCGGCTGGGCTCTTGAAATTCTAGGCTGTGTCTTGATAATAACGTATATCCATATAATGCTAGCATTAAACTAATAATTGCCTACGGAATTCAACTACGGGGAGTAACTTGTGCTTGCCATCCGAATCAACTTGCTCGTTCTCGTCCTTTAACAGAGAGACAAGCTCGTTTAAAACACACGATCACCTATTCAAAACTTATTACATTTATAGAACGATTCAATAAACGAATGAAAAATGTAAAAATAAATAAAAAAAACGATATAAAGAAGAACGGCAGAGTTTTGCGCAAATGCTATCAGAGTGTACTGCAAACAAATTTTCGCCTATTAAATGGCGCCAATACTCTACTTGCGTTATTTTTATTTTGTGAAGCACTCCTACTACTATCATATTGAGTGATGCGTTATATTAAGTGTTTGCAAAAATCAACGACTTCTACAGATAAAAATAAAGATAAAGAAATGGGGAATTCCAGTGTACATAACGGTAGAGTTTGATTGGTTTGACCTTCCTCTATATAAAATAACAATTTTCCATTTAATATTATTGAGTTGCTCAGCGTATGTCCACGCTAATAATGGAGCGCTTAAAATTCTTCTTCTTTCGTATTTATTACTTTTTTTGTTTATTTGAAGAAATCTGCTGTCGAAGTCCACTAAGCATGTTCAGAGGCTTATGGTGACGCTGATCCATCATATGCCAATTGCCGGTTTTCGTTTTAACGGTTTAAAAGCGGCGAAACAAATTGACTGAAAATGGTATTTTCTGGCCACCTGGTTGCGAGAGTTGTTCAGGATACACTGTTGCAGCTCAAATGAGAAGTTCTGCCACACCTAGTGCACTCACAAGACATGGCGCCTCTTGATTACCACTTGTTCAAATCATCAAATTGAAGAACACATAGTGCTTATCGTTGACTTTCAAAACCATTTCGAGTAGCAATTAACCAATCGAAATATCCAAAGAAATTTGTTTCCGGTAAAGCTGTTGCCGGCATTTTGAGCAAGTATGAAAGGATTAATGGAAATAACGTAGTTTGCATACCAACTCGCAGCCTGGAAGGTTTTTCATCGAATCTGAGAATGGATACCATGCCGAAAGCAGCGTCTCAATTGGTAATCAAGCCACAGCCATGCAGAACTATAGTTAAAATTAAGCCGATGTGCTGTTCGGCCAATATGTCTCGTCAAGACATCAATGACTATACCTGCCGGCGAGGACGTGGCTGAAAATCTGTCAGAGCACAGCCTGATGAGCGCTTATTTATCAGAATATCACTAGGAAATCGAGGATTTTTTAATTGCTACTGTAATGATTCTCAAGGTCAAGATTAAGAGTTACAAGCATTTCGAAAGCTAACAGTGTATGATTTATTTGAATTTAAGTCATTTATTCAGATTCGAAATAAAAATGTTGATGTTGTACAATTTCTTTGATCTCGCGTGTAGTCGTTAGCTTTAGTGTGTTAGTCAAGTTAATATTCATTTTGCATGATAACACCTTATGCTCGATTGCGGTGAGAGTTTGGAAAAAGAGCATATGTTTGGAAATCATGTTCAATAAGTAAGTGAGTTTATCATAAACTTGTTCCTTAGATTATTTCCCGAATTAAATTTGCTTTACTTACCTTTAATTGATTGCCCGCTTAATTGCAGACACTGGATATGCATTACGAAAATTGTCATAAGAATTAAAAGCATTTTGAGCCAAGAACTGAAATGAAAAGAAAGAAGAGAGATTGCAATGACCATTTGATGACTGAATATGAATAAAATGAATAAAATATTAAAAGAATATATAAAAGAAGGCAAAGATAAAGAGTTTGGAAAAGACTACATCAAACAGCCCAGAAGCGAATAAACACAATTCGAAATTCAGATAACGATTTTTTCAAACAAGACATTTAAGTATAGTCGTATCAGCGGTACCGCAACATCGTATTAGAGCCAATGGTAAAATCGCAAGAAACGCAGCAAAAAAAGGAGCAAAACTATAAGTCTCTACTGTTTGTTTCTTTTGTATATGGATTTTCTCCTTAAGTTTTTATTTATTATAAAGTTCATAAAGATTAGGTCGAAAATTATTTAAGAATAAAATTAATCTTCTCACTACTGTTAGTCAATTGTCCCTCCGCTGTTGTTGTTGTTGCATTGAAGCTGTGTTTTTTTTTTTTTTTTTGTTTATGTAAATAAAAAAGATTTAAGTGTTATGAGGTTAATAGAACATGTGAAGGCAGAAAAGGAAAAAAAGACACTAAGGGATATGTAAATGCATATAAATGAATTTTTACGATTTTCTTAAACTTTAACACAATGAGGTAAACTATAGGCAAGCGGATAAAATGATATTTACCGAACACGCCGACTATTAGTGCTCGGTACTACCACACACAAGCGTAGAGGAGGTTGATAACGATAACTAATGTCAATGATGTTAAGAAGGAAGCTGAGGTCTCTGACTAATCTTCGAAACTTAAATTGAGTTTTATGGACTGTTTTCAACAGACGCAATATGTTTTCAATCCGTAATATCAGGCTTTAAGTTATTTGAGGTATTCTTCTTTCCTTTCGGTCCCGAACGAATTTAATTTTCTTACTTATTAGTAGTTAGTGGTAAGAGACGAATATTTTTACATGTTTGAATTTGAATATGTGTGGTATGAGTATGACATATAAAAGGGCTTTTTAAAACTGTGCTAAGAAATCTTTCGACCAAACACACAATAAGTGATTAACTTTTAGAGGCAATCATAGATTTACCTCATAACCAAGTCATGTTTATCACATGCTTTATCAGACTAATATTGAAATTTAATTTGATTTCTTATGTATACGAATAAACTTGAAAGCAAGTAGAATTAATTAGTTATTAAGAACGAGATTAAAGGTTAGCTCAGTGTGTATACAAATGGTTTTAGACCAACACATTGCACGAGAATCTATGCTTACTATGTTTACTATAAAGAAATAAGAAATTTACCAAATGAATTGTAATGCGTTTTAGATTTTATAAAAGAACCCATTTCGGGTCATGTTAGGTCTATTCGTTGTTGTAGTGAAACCTTGAAACTTAAAAAAACAAGTTTTTTCTCAATTCTATTCGTATCGTTCTGATCGGTTTTGGGAATCGAATTATTTCTATTTTTCCCAATTATTGTAAAGCTTTTAGATAAGTTATCAATTAGTCAGCTAAATGTAGCCGAAGGGTACCTAAGTATGGCCCTTAATCGATATCACTAACTACACATAGCAAAGAAGTCACACAAAAGTATGACTTAAAGAACATAGGCAAGTGTGTCGACCGCCACCCGGAGCAAGTGACGAATAGTAAAGTAGTAGATTGGACTGAAATGCTGAACTTATCAAAATAGTAAACAACTATTTCATATGATTACTTTCGCGTAAAGCGTTAAAACTGTTTTGAACTCTGTCGTAAAGTAGAGCATTAAGAGGGAAGCGAAGTATACTTCAACGGTATATATATACGGTGTATATATACTTATACATATACCTTTTCTCTATTCATCTGCGTTTGCCCAAGTAAATATATCCTTGCTTACGTGTAGTATACAATAGGTTTATGTAGTCAAAACCGCAATCACTTTGTAAATACAAAAAACCACAAACGCATTGACAATACCAATGCATACACAAATAAACTCATACATATCGCTTCTACCGGCGCACCTGTTTATAATTGTGGCCACAAATTGTGTAAGTATCACCTTATCTTTATGAAAACAAGACGTGTGTAACATAAAAACAAAAATAGAATACTATCACGCAGCACGACAACATTCACAATGTCCATTAAAATGTAAACTAATATTTGTTTATACGGACTGTCATACAAAACAAAAAAAAAAAAAACGAATAAGATTATAATTAAAATGCTTCAAAATTTATACTATTTATATATATACATATATATATATATATGGATATGCAAGTATTTTACAATTATTTCGAAAAGATATACAAATATTTACATACGTATATATACGTACACATGTATGTGTATCTGTGTACAAGAAAGTTGTGCGCTCTCTAAAACTACCCCCTTTCCAATATTTACATGCATGCACGGTGCATGTATTGTATGTAAAACAACATGAAACTATAAAAACAAAACAAAAAAAATGTTGCGCCCTATGTCCCTTAATAAATAACATATTTACTCTTGTGGGTAGGTTGTGCGTTACGATATTTTGAACAACAACAACAACAACAACAACAACAACTACACCTACAATACCAGCTAACAATGATTTGTGTCTTTTATTTATTTTTTTTTTTTTTTGATAGTAATGTTCATTTCTTTTTCCCCTTTTGTACTTTTACTATTCGACCGCAGAAGCCACAAAATAAATGCAATTTGTGGTTAACATTTGCGGTTATTTGTACTTTCGATATATATCAGTCTTCCAAGATTTCCTTTACCAGTATATGATAAAGAGTTTATTTCTTCGTACAATTGATTATTCTCACTTATTCACTGTTTCTATTTTCCTCGTTTCCTTTTCCATTCTACGTACAGCTAGCTATCTATATATGTATATATATTTTAGAATTAATTCATTGAAAAATTTTGAAAAACAATTAGATGCACAGTAGTAGAACGTATTGTTGCGAAGCCCCGACAACTGAAAATATTGATGCAAAACAATGGACGAACGGGCGGTCAGATATAGATTGTTAAAGTAGTCGAAACAAGCGATGGCCGGACCAATAAAGAAACAACAGATATCTATCTTTAGATTCGTATGTGAATCATTAATTGGGACAAGAAAACATTTGAAATGAACAGATGCGTTGATCTCTTACTAAGAGTTTAGTAGGTTTAGTTGATGGTCATACGTCTGCAGAGACACTCACACACACAAATAGTTGACGTAAAGGCTCGCACTTAGGGTGCACAAAACATATATGAATAGAATTAGGAGCCATTTAACGCCCAAAATAATAGTTAATTACATCCACAGAATCTTAAAAATGTTATGTGGATATATTTTCGTGCATCAATTAAGGCTGACCAACCGCTTCTTATGTGAAAGGGGACAAACGGATTGATGGACGTGCCAGTCGATTAACAAGCGGACAGATGCTTATCCACTGCGTACGTCTTGAATAACTAAATCTTAATTGTTGCGAGAAATTTTGTATGGATAGGTCTTCACTGCGAGGATCTATGGGATCATAAAATGGCAAATAGAGTTTAAATAGTTTGGAAGGAATAGTTCGGTTTCTAATGTTCAGCGAATTTCTAAAATGTAGTTTTAAGAAAACGCTTCAATTTGAAATTTTACGAAAGTTCATAATTGACTCTTTCATCGGATATCGAAATACTATTCATCGGATTATAAAATAACTCCATATAACAATAGTAATAATAATACAATAAATAAGCATGAAATAATAAAATAAATGGAGAGCTTACGATCACGAAATAAAAATGCAATTACTATTTAACGCGAAACAATAAAAAAAGAAATATTTATGATATATTATAGCTAAAGGAAAATGATCATTAAAAGTATGCGAAAAAGAATGCATTTAACTGACTAATTAAAAATATATATGCAAATGAAAATTCAATGAACATCAATAACGACTTTTGAATTTATGAATTTTGTTACATATGATTTATGTTCCAAGTAGAGGACACAGCAATTACAACAGCGAATTGCAACAATATTAATTACTTAATCATGGTTTAATCATTTGAAAAAGCCTTTGTCAACAAACGTAAATAAGCTCAAATTTTTCTGTGTAATCGTTGACGAGAGGGAAGAAATGCGGCCATGAGAAAGATTATATTCACATTGAAACGAACCGTGAATATTGATTACGGAAAACGAATATTGTATATATATATATATATATATATATATAGCCAGATAGATTAGTTGAAAGTGAACTATTATTTCACCCTATCAAGCCATACCTGTAGCGCTAGTAGTAATGGAAACAGTCCACCTATAACGTATGACATTTTTCTCACCACATTTTTTTCAATCATAGCGTTTCACTTTTTTGTTTTTCACTTTGTAGCGGCCTCACATGTTTTGTTCACATTACGCTCTCATCATAGCTAAGGCATGTGCAAAACTTAAGTGCGATCAGGCGTTCAAAAGTGCCCGGAATATCAGTGGAAAACTTTCACGCTAACACAGGAAACACAGGAAGTTAAATAAAAACTTATATAAAAGTTTTTATCGCAGAGGCGTGTTCTTTGAAAAGCTGTATGTTTACCCCATACGCCCGATTGCGCAGTCAGATAGATGGACAAACGGCCTCGTTTAGGTTCATTTCAGATTTAAAACTGCCCAAGCATTTATATACCTTATGGGGTTTTTGAAACTTGTTTCTGCGCGTTACAAAGGTATTGAACAAATGATTAAATTTTCATACACTGTAATACTGCGTAGGCGTGGTGAATTTCTTTCATTTTTGTGCACAGACGCTATCGCGTCGCCCATAGAATACGCGTTCAAATTGTTTGCTATAGTTTATGAGTTATGAGCAAAAAATCCAATTTTTCATTCCCTTTGAAAAACAAATGCGCTTAGAGTCACGTGATACTGTGGTCGTATCTCTCAACTAATTCTTCTTCTTTTTTCAAAGTTTGTGCCAAATTTGAAGCTGATAGCTTCACTTTTAAGGCCAGGAGAATGTTTGCAACAGCCATTACACAGACGGACAGACGGACAGACG